TGGAGTCATCCTTCTCTTCCTGGTGCAGAGAGGGAGACATACTTACAAACTGGAGATTTCCTTTATAGGATATAAATGTCTCTAACAAAAGAATAACTTCTACTGTTTTCAGAGCTTCTCTTATGTCTGCTAATTAGCTCGAATAATCCTTATGCTAAAGAGGCTTATTTTGGAGTGGCATATCCTAGCCTTCTGTAATCATATTTTGGAATGCGGTGTCCTGAACTCCAGCAACTTCATCATGCATTTCAGAAAGTAGTATCATTCTCTTCCATAATCAGACCATTATCATGCTGAAGGAAATTCACAGTAATTCATTAAAATGAAATATCCTGTCTGTATTCGGATTTCTCTGCTCAAAATATAGTTTTATATTCATTTTGTTCAAATTAGGATCCATCGTGATCCACATACTGCATTTGGGTCTTACGTCCCTTATGTCTTTTTGACTTTAGAACAGGTGCTACCTCACTCATTTTTGTTTTGTTTTTAAACTTGTCATTGACTTGTTGAATATATCTAATGCCATGTTCTAGATTCTAGATTCACTTGATTACTTCTTTCTGGTATCACCTCTAACTTATTTCTCTATATACCTGTAAACAGAAGTTAAATTTTGCCAAGAATACTTGATAGGTGATGCAATTATGCTGCATATTGCTTTGCTTAGGAGTCTCGATATCCAGTTGCCCCGCATCAGTGGGTTTGGATAGTGCCAGCCTGATTCTTCCTTTGTACAGGTGGTTTTCCTCCTTATGGCCAGCAAGTGATTATGGGATGATAATTTAGCATCCTGAAAATATCCAATTCTCAAATAGCCCAAGAAATGTTTTTGATTGAGGAACTGTCTTCCTCCAGTATCTCAAAGGCTGACCTGCGTGTGTATCTTCAGGAGGATTCTATATAGAACAATGAAGAAGGAACTGAGAATAGCCAAACTGACTGTATGGAATAAAAGATGTTACAGCCACATTTTTGTCCTATTCAAGAGTAGATTTAAGAGGTAGGTAAGAGAGACTTTTAACAAATCAGAATGATAAGTGTACAAGAGTTGGAAAAATAGAGTTAAAGAGAAAGGAAAAATAAAGGTAATTTTATTTGAAAGATTTATTGAATCTCTGAGTGTCCGTAACTAATAACACCACAAGGACCCTCATCTACACTAAATCCAGCAGTAACAACAAAAAATAAAGCTTCTGAAATGCCCACTGTCCCCCAGTTAGATAAGCTAGAAAAATGGAAAACAAAACCAAATCTCAGATCCAACTTAAAAGTTTTACTCCATTGGGGAGGACAGCCAAGGTGTCGAGAACTGTAGAAGCAGTGCCTACCTGAAGCTGGCATGATAAGGCTAATTTAACTTCATCGAAAGAGGCAGAAGCTGAAAGAATGACTACAAATGTGTAAGATACATGCATTTCAGAAAATTGTTAAACTGGTGAATACAGCGGAGAAGCCGTAAAACTTCTAGGGGAGGCTGTAAAGAGCAGCATTGATGCCCCCAAGCAATGATTCATTGATGCAGAAGATAGAGGAATATAGCACAGCCAAATTAAAACACCCAAAGCCAAAAACATGTCTAAAAAATGAAAGAATGTTGAAAAGACACCAGGAAATCCAAGCTACCTATAACAGTGGGAAAGACCAATACGTTCATGCGTTTTACACGTCTCCATTTCTTTGACTGTGGTTTCTATATCGCATTTTTTAGTTTAGATAATTTTTCTCAAGATGTGTTTTTAGAAGATTCCCAGGGTACTGTGCATGAGAAACCCTGAAATGACAATAGATATTTAAATTAGATAAATTGTCTAATTAGACAATTAGATATTTAAATTTATGAAGTGTTTAATCTTCATTGCAAAGAAAGGCTCTTACAAGCTGCTTTGATAAAAAGAAAATTTAAAGATACTCAAGAGTAAGAATGACTTTGGACCTTCCTTTTCAGACTTTGAAGAAGTGTAAGAGTTTAAGGGAAAAGAAACAAAACAAAGAAAAAACAATGGCACTAATATGCTTCGGTATGATATCTAGCCAAACTTACTTTTCTTTCTTTTGAGATGGAAGATCCTTAATAGGTGAAACACATTGAATAATATGTCAGTGAAGTACTCAGCAGCAATACTGTTTCCAGAATTTGACTATCAGAATGAGATAAAATATTAATATATAGTCTAGTTTGTTTGCTAAAATGAAAAATGAATTTAAGGGAAAGTGGAGTTTTTACTGAATATATAGAGATTATAGGAGATGGCATCTGTTCTCCTCTTTGATGCTTTGCATTTCTCATTGCTAAAGTCACCACTCAGCCATGCCATCTGTTGCCTGCTGAAGTCCATGCTTTCCCCCTTTACTGATACCAGTGCAGGGCTTAGACATGTGATGTAGCAGCCATGATCGATAAACTTCTCACTTGGAAAGGAAAATCAACATAGTCATAAAGGAGTTAGGACAAGTTTGACTATGTGTCCCAATTTTGCCACGACAGTCTTAGCTTTTGCCTAATGTCTCGGTGTAGATCTCAATAGCATCTCTCAAAGGTATCCCACTTTGGAGAGCAGTTCACAATTTAGCTGGGGGTCTTTCTGTTTACTTCATTGCTATAGTAAGGAAACATTTTCTTGTTACTTCAATTCTGTTTAATTTAGTGAACATTTATTTAACACTCAACAGATGTAAGGAACACCTTGAATCTTTTGTAAGATAAAAAGAAAAATAAAGGCAAGGCCCCTACCCCCAAAGAGTTTCACATTAAACAATGCTTTTTCCTCCTTAGCTTACTTTGGCAACTCACAGCCTCATCAGAGTCAGAAGTGCCCCTAGACCCAAGCTCCTGCCCTCCCTTGCCTCTGGCTGCATGCCCCTCTCCCTCAGGGGACTTAACGGAATGTTCCCGTCTGAGAACCTGTGCCCCTATCACACCACACGCTAGGTATGTGGGATAGTGAAATTCCTTGCCCAGACATGTTTGAGCCTGCTTCCAGGGCCCACATGGACCTCTGCCCTTGAACACATTCGCACGAGGTCCCTCTCAGGCCCAGATAAGCCAAGGGTGGGCGGAGAAGGGGCGGACAGCAGGCTAGTGGTAGAAGCTAGAGTAGGCTCCCCATAACCTTACATGTTCTGGAATTTTGTACCTGGACTTCTAGGTAATTTCGAGTGTATATTCCTCAAAGTAGGAGAATAGAACATATTTTATATACTAGTTTATTAGCTTAATTTACAGGTTTTTTTTTTTTTTTTTTTTGAGACAGAGTCTCACTGTGTTGCCCGGGCTAGAGTGCTGTGGCTTCATCCTAGCTCACAGCAACCTCAAACTCCTGGGCTCAAGCAATCCTTCTGCCTCAGCCTCCCGAGTAGCTGGGACTACAGGCATGCGCCACCATGCCCGGCTAATTTTTTCCATATATTTTTAGTTGTCCAATTAATTTCTTTCTATTTTTAGTAGAGATGGGGTCTCGCTCTTGCTCAGGCTGGTCTCGAACTCCTGAGCTCAAACAATCCGCCCGCCTCGGCCTCCCAGAGTGCTAGGATTACAGGCGTGAGCTAATTTACAGGTTTTAGGTATTTATTTAGACACATGGTATGTGGGCCTCCCTTTTCATTCTTGCCATGGACCCCACAAATATAAGAGGCAGGCCTAGTCAGAGTCAAACTTAAAATCCTTACCATGACCCATGAGCTCCTACATAATCTGCTCCTGCCCTCTTCTCCACTCTGCTCAGCTGTGTCAGCCTCTTCACTGTCCTAGAACACCCCAGGCACACTCCCACCTCCCTTACACTCATGGCTCCCTCTCAGAATGCTTTTCCCCTGGGTTGCCCGTGGTCTTCCCCCTCATGTCCTTCAGGTCTCTGCCCACCCCAAGTCATTATCTTATCAGTGAGACCTTGCCTGGGCAGCCTTTCTAAAGTCTTAACCAGTCCCCCAAACACTTACTGCCCCCTTTCCTGCCCTATTTACTTCCCTAAGACACGTCACAAAAGTCAGAAGTACTAGAAAACTAAACTAGCTTTTCCCCCTAAATATCTTCCTTTTAAAACCCCTTAAATATTGACTATTTTTCCTTAAAACTATTTTAGCTTTTATGTCTTAAAGTTATCCATGTAGCCACTTTAAAGAGTTAAATAGTATCTCTAAGACTAGTTACTTAAAACAGCTGTCCCTCTACCTTGCCCTCAATTTCAGGGGTAACTATTTCTAACTCTATTGGATGGTTCTTTTGTTTTTTCCCCCATATCTAAATAACATGCTTTTATTGCTTCTTCCTAACTTTAATTTTAGGCCTTCTCTTATTTGCTTTCCATTGTAGAGGACAGATTTAAGCTCTCTGTTACCACCATCACACCCTGTGCATGCACACATGTATGCAGCTCTCCCCTTCTCGATATGATTAAATTGTGATTCTGGTAAGATCAAGATTTGGTGTTTTAAACTGTAAACACTAGGCACAGCTGAGTATACTGTGATTACTTTTCCTCCCCCTGCAGCATCTTATTTTCCCTGGAATTAAAAATTGTCATGATTTTGATTTGTTTACTTTTCTAGGGTATTAGCATCAGTTCCACCCCAGACTGCACCGGTTATGTATATCTGTTTTTCAGTATGTTCAGACATCTATATTTTACTGTTTTCCTTCTCTTGAAAAATTTCCCATAGAGTCTTTAGATCTTTTTTAATCTGAATGGTGGTTCTCAGAGTCTGCCAGAGTTTGAAACCATAGAGACATCTCTATGACTTATTTACCTCAATAGAGTTTTTGGGCAGTTGATGCAATTTCTGCTGTTGTTTTATAAATATTATTATTTGACCAAATCATGCAAGTAACTACCATGAATTTATCTATGGTTCTCTTTTATGTGTATAATCAAGAGACATTTTATCCTAAAAATACAGAACGTATTCTTACATTTGTTTTATGTAGAACATATTAAGAATTACTGAAACAATCTTAATACATTTATATATATAATATATATTTTTTATTTTATTCTTTATAGGCTCTCAAAATTAGAGAGATATGTAATTGCCCACCACTTTCTGGACCAGACCCCCGATTACTATTCAAACTCAGCATGAAGCATTTTCTTGAAGAATCAGAGAAAGAAGACCTAGATACCACTGTTAAGAAACAGAAAACGGACACTCTTTCTATTCAAAAACAGGAGCAAATTCCGTTAACATACATAGTTGAGAAAAGAACTGGCAGTTGAATTAAAATTTATGAGACATAGAGTATATGAAGAATGTAGTAATCCTTATCATTTTTGTTACTTTTTAAAAAATGATGTTTGAAATGAAAAAAAATGGCTATTCAAGGTCAAATCATGTACATTATAGATATTATCTAAATTCTTTTAGGTATTTATTTTTCATGAAATATTGATGTATTTTAATCTATTTTAAAATATCTTCAATGAGGAAAATGTCACAGAATAAATTTATATTACACATTTTACTCTGTCTCATACTTGCTTTTGATTTAGAAGGCAGACCCCTAATGGTTCCAGCTGAGCCTAAACTGGATTTCACATTCTGGGTGGTTATGATGAACTGGGAAACAGACAGTCTGAAGGTTCTGTGTTTTGAAAATTGTTTGCACTGGAGTAGGGTTATGTGGGAAAGGGCACCTTGGGATAGAGAATTTCCTGGTCTTCCTCTGTGGATGATGAGGGAAAAGGTCACAGGCAGAAGCTGCAGAAGCCATATTCATAGGGAGGCACAAGAAGTACTGTTTGTGGTCCAGGTGACAAAGTGGGAAACAGAATGTGGGGAGAGGGGCATTTCCATTAGACACGTGTTCCTGGTGTACTGAAGTCTTAACAAAAAGTCGTGTCATTTGGCCTCTCTGTGGTATTACAATCTGAGAATCTTCAGAGTTCTCAGAGAAGACAACCCCTGTGTGCTCATTGGAGGTACTACAGGAGAGGCAGAGGAAAGGTGCAGTCCCCAAGTTGATCTCCATGAGAAGCAGACATCCACAAAGGGACAGGGAGAAGAAAAGAGAGAAGCAGCGTAAGACACATCCTCAGTGGTGGCCAGAAATTACTGCATTATATAAATGTGGAAATGAGTTATTTAATATTATTTGTACTCCCAAACTAGTGATGTCTAGTGATGCTTAGGTTACATTTCTAAGAGGAACATTTTCTTTGAAACACATCATATTAAATATTTTCTTAAAGGGGAAAGGAACTACTTTTTATTGTGTAGCTGCTATGAGCTGAGCCCTATATTTATCTCATTTATTCCCCAACCCTATGAAGTAGGCTTTATTATTCTCGTTTTACAAGGAGAGCACTTAAATGATATACTCATTGTCTGTCACTTAGAACAAAGCTAGATCTGTCTGACTATAAATATGTCCATTTCCCACAACTCTCAGATTTCTAAGACTAAGCTATCAAAAAACAAGGAACAAACTCTTGTAAGCTTCCTCATGTGTGGTTTTAATACAGGTGAAAATCTCATAAAATCAGGGAACACTTATGTTGTCTACAGAATGATTTTTCCAGGTTCTCCTCTCAGACCCTTCTATCAAAATTTACATGAAAAGCCTGGGGTAAAGTAGAGAAGGAAAGTGGAGCTTCTCTCCCTGCCTGTGAAAGCATGTGAAATCTCATTTGTGATGTATCCTGATACCATTCAATTTTATTAGACAAAATATTTACCTAGATGTTAAGTTCAGAGCCTATTTATGTTTTTCAGGGCTTACTATAGGTTACTTGTAAGAAATTTCTTGATCTGCACATAAGACAACACTAATAAGGAAGAAATTCACATTAACTGTTTTCCGTATAGTCATTTACACTCCTGGTGATTGGAGTTTTGTGATCCTCCCTAACATATAAAGAAATTTGGAGAATGTCATCTAGAAGTAAACAGTAAAACACACCATTAGATTTTTTCTTCCTTCTCATTGTCACATCTCATTGTGGTGTTCAGACTTCCTAGAATATATATACAAGTTGACATGTCAGAAAGAGCAGAGATAATAGGGAGATGATATCTTTATAGTGCATATAAAAAAGATTTTTTTTAACCCACAGAATCAAATGCAAAAAAAATGCTGTTATACACTTCAGCTCAGTGTTTTAGAAGAAATTAAATAGCAATTGAAATGTAAGATGTATACACATTTTAAGTTTTATACGGAAATAACCTCTATGTTCTGCAGTTAGTTGCTGACGTTTTTTGTTACTGTCAATGTTTTTCATATGCCTATAGGATTTAGATGTTGGCTGGTTAGCTTGATGGTTAAGAGCATTATGCTAATAAATCCAAAGCACCTACTCAATCTGATCTCTTATAATTCAGATAGTTGTGAGATTGTATCCTATAAAAGTGTGTATATTTACTGCTTTATGCTTAATACTTAACAGTTCTTGGCACATTATGGGCATTCAATTACTATGTTATTGACACTGTATATTCAACATCAATCATCTGGTCCAAGGATAAAAAAGAAGGAGAAACAATCATACTTTGTGAATTCTCTTCCTCCGGGTAGCTGTGGGACCTTGGACAAGTCATGTAAACTCTCTCATTTCTTTGTAAAATGGGGACAGTAAATCCCATACGTTGATCAATGAAGTGAAATGATGTATTTAAAGCATTTAACACAAAATCTAGAGCTCCAAATATAATAAAAATAGTCATCATTTGTTGAGTGCTTACTTTGTACCATGCACTGTGCTAAGCACTTTTCAAGCACTGTTGAACCTCACTGCAACCCTGTACGTTAATGAGATAGGTGTTATACTATCCTCCATGATAGATCAGGAAGCCGAAGTTTAGAGGGGTAATGAAACTTGCTCAAGGTTACGTGATGTATTCCTTAAGATTGTTTTACTTGTAAGAACAGAAAAACCAACTCAGACTCAATCAAGAAAATGTATTGCCTCAATCTAACAGGAAAGCTCAGAAGTACGCTAGCTTTGGGCACAATTTAATCCAGACGATCACGATGTCATCAAGGCAATGGCTCTTTTTCTTTGCAATTTTTCTCAGTTCTTCCCTGATGGTATCAAGATGGCTGCCAGCAGCTCCCAGGGTTGCATGCTTTCACATCCAGGTGGGAAGAGTGACTCACCTCACAACTATTGAAACAAAGCCTTGAGTACTCTAACTGCACCCCTGAAGCAATTGCCATGGCAAGGGGCAGCATTATCCTGAGTGGTTTCGACCTATCAGGATCCAACATTGGAGCTGAGGATGAGTACCGTCAACACCGCGCAAGCAGAATGGCTCCCGCATGGTGGGACCAATGCAAGCACAGGGTCTACCAAATAAGTGGTGAGAACTAGAACTAAAACCTGTTAGGTTTATCCTTTCAGCAGGCAAAGAAATAAGATAATTCCATGAAGATTTGGTCTGAAACAATATTTAATCTGAGTAAAAATAATGTAGCATGAGTTTTACATTGATATAATCAATTTGCATTAGCATATTGCTTTACCATTTAAAAGGTTTTTTGTGTTTTACCTGAATTATGTTTTATTCTCAAAACCATTCTATGAGATTGAAAGGACAGATGGTAATATGAACAGATAATGATATACTCATAGGGGAGAAAACTAAAGCTTGGAGGAATTAAGCAAGTTATCTAAGTATGCACTTCAGGTAAATGGCCGAACTGGGATTGAAACTAAAGGACTCACTGGTTTATAACCCAATGTTCTTTCTGGAAAACTACATTCTTTGGAGAGGGAGATATTACCTCCACTTTTCATCTGGAAACCAAAGCTCAGAGGTATTAAGCAATGTGTGTCCAGCATTACTCACCCCTTAGTGACAGAACTGATTCAAACCCGCATCTTTTGGCTCCAAAATCTGTGCTCTTCACATATACTGCCACTTCCGTTGGCAAACCTCACAAAGGAGATGAAGATGGAAAGTGTGCACTTCCTTTCACCCCTCACTTGTGAACGCAAGGCCAGTACCTCTTCTGCTCTATTTAAAAGCAGTCATTTTAATAACTCTATGACAAGTGGTAAAAATATCCATTTTAAGCATATTTATCCATGTGAGGGATAAGATTCCTGTTAATCACCTCATAAGATGTTTTTATTAGGGCCTAGAGAATTATTTAATCTGTGGTGAGAAATATCTTTTGCTTCACTACTGGGAAGAAAACCCCATTGGTATGCTACCCTCCTACACCTTGCCCCATGAATTCCATCAGAAAACTTAGGCCAGTGGCTCTCAGCCTTATAATCACCAAGGACTCCTTTTACATTATCTGGCTCTGTGTGCAAGGAGTGTCACACCACAAAGTTCTCCGTCTTGAAGGGTTGGTGTGTCTAGACTTGTGACCAGGGTTTCTCACTGCATGAGACTGTTAGGCATAGAGCATAAGTCACTGTGTGGTCTTGTTTCCAGGGCTCAGAATTTCTATGATATCATCAAAGACCAATCAGGGCCTCTGATCATCATGTGATCTCTGGTGTTACCAAAATTCCAGCCAAAAGAAAAAGAAATTTGTGGTTTTAATTAGTTTGGGTGGCCTAGTTATGTAAGAGGAAATATAATATTTTTAGTTAGGCTCTTTGAAATATTAAGCCCAGCTGGCAGATTCCAAATACTATCTTCCCAGGACACAAGGGGCCTGGAACCTCATCCTGGGCCACATTGGTCTAAAATCGGATTTGGGCTTTTTTAATCTTTAGAATATAAAAGAAAGTAGAATTAAGATGTATTAATTTTGACCAATTATCAAAGTATAACCGTATTTTTGTAGGTTAGAGATGATGGATGGTCTACTTAAGGACTCTGTTGTTCTATATTTAATGATACATTTTTTCAAGTAACTATTGTTTTTGCACAGAAAAAAACAAGTTGAATTTAATTTTTTTCCATAGTTATTCCCCTCTGATATTATTGTAGCCTTGAGAATCAAGGGCAATGTCACTGATCTTATTTTTAATTTGAGCAAATGGGATAGTAATATTTGCCCTGCCTAATTCCCAGGGTTATTATGGGTTTTAAATATAGTAACATGTATATGCTTTGTGGAACATCCAACATGTTATACCCATGCTGATTCTTACATTCTAATGCTGTCTTAGTTTGGGCTATAAGATTATTTGTTAAGAGAGGTCATTTCCAAAAAGATGACTATTTGCTTGATTTGTTACAACTCAGAATTGATGGTGATCTGTTCTTACTCAAGTGTGAGAGAAAGGAAAATTTTTATTTGTGGCATATTTTGTCCTGGATTTATGAGTTTGTGTGTGTAATTAACCTAATTCTATTAATCCCATTATGGCCCTTGTCTGTAGGGTATTCCTGATTTCCATCAATTTCTCCATTTTGATGCTTAAATCTAGAGAAATAGGCCCAGCTTTTGCTGGAATCGCCAGTCCAATCTCCAGATGATCGGCTGGGAGAACAGGAACTAATGTTAGTTGAACCATACTAAGAGCAAGATTCCACAACTTTTCTCCCCTTTCAATCCTC